CTGGGCCGTACCAGTGCTGCCTACCCCCTCTGTGGCTTCCTCCCCAGGATGCTGCTGCTGCTGCTGCTGCTGCTGCCGCTGTTGCTGCCACTGCAGCTGCAGCTCATTTGCATGCAGCTGTTGCAGCATCTGCTCTTCTCGGGTCGCATGGCGCGGATCTAGTAGCTGCGGTCCTTGTGGTTGCTGCTGCTGCTGCTGCTGCTGCTGTTGCTGCTGCTGCAGCATCTGCTGCTGCGCTGCTGTGCCCTCAGTCTGGGGTCTGCGATCCCCTGGCAGATGTAGGGAGGTCTGCTGCCTTTCAGTGGGCTGCTGCTGCAGCAGTTGCTGCGGGTGTTCCCGCTGCTGCTGCTGCTGCCGCTGCTGCTGCTGCTGCTGCTGCTGCATTGGGTGGAGCAGCGCATTGTCTCTGCGTCTCCGCTGCTGCAGCGCATATCCCTGCATCTCTTCTTCTTGCTGCTGCTGCTGTTCTAGCTGCTGCTGCCGTTCTTGCTGCTGCTGCTGTTCTTGCTGCTGCTGCAGCTCTAGATGATGGTGGTGTTGGTGGTGGTGGTTGTGGTGTTGCTGCTGCAACATTAGCTGCTGCTCGGGGTGTTGCTGCAGCAGCGGTTGATGCTGCCCCATCGGTGCTGGCAGCAGCATCGCCTGCTGCTGCAGCGGCAGTTGCTGCTGCAGCAGCGGGCTCTGTTGCAGAAGCGGTCGGTGCTGCTGCTGCTGCTGCTGCAGCAGCAGCAGATGCTGCTGCTCTGGGTGTTGGTGCAGCAGCATTTGCTGCTCTGCTCCAGCATTAAAGGGGAAAATGGACAGGCCCTTAACAATCCCATCGCCGCTGCTGCTGCTGCTGCTGCTGCTGCTGTTGCTGCTGCTGCTGCTGCTGCTGCTGCTGTAGAAGTTGTATTGCCGCGCTCTCTTCCAGGCGTTCTTGCATAGAAGGCCGCAGCGCTTTTTATGTTTGTGTATTCTGCTGCTGCTGGCAGCAGCAGAAGCCTGAGGGTGGCGACAGAAGTCAACAGCCCAAGAGATAGCAACAGCATCTGCTGCTGCTGCTGCTGCTGCTGCTGCTGCTGGTGTTGCTGCTGCTGCATCTTCATGGAGACAAAACGAACCAAATGCATGCAGAGGATAGAGGGGACGGCTCCTCCCTCTCGATCGCGGCGAATGCATCAATGCCTTTATCTGAAAGTCAGCAGGCGATGCTCCTGCTGCTCCTGCTGCTGCTGCTGCTGCTGTTGCTGCTGTTGCTGCTGTTGCACCTGCTGCTGAGGATAACAGATGTGCCAGGGCACTCCTCCGCAGCTCGCTTAAGGTCTTTGGGCCGACGGGAACAGTAAACAGCTGCAGCAGCTCATCGTCATCTCCTGCTGCTGCTGCTGCTGCTGCTGTTGCTGCTGCTGCTTCTGCTGCTCGCAACTCCCCCAGCAGCTGCAGAGCCGAACTCTTCCACGCCGTAAACTCCTCAGCCTCACCCTTCTCCCTTTGCTGCTGCTGTTGCTGCTGCTGCTGCTGCGGCTGCTGCTGCTGCTGCTGTTGCTGGTACTTTGTCTGTGGCGAGTGCAGCTGCCTGCGTGTTTCCGTTACTCCTTCTGCAGCAAGCCCAGCAGCAGCAGCAGCAGCAGCAGGAGCAGCAGGATGCACAGCAGCATGAGGAGCAGCCTTAGCATTGACATCCGATTGTTTACTACTGCTGCTGCTGCTGCTGCTGCTGCTGCTGCTGCTGCTGCTG